CTTGCACTGGGGTCGACGACTTGGAGGGCGATTGGTCATCCATAGCACTCAAAGGTCGTGGTGGTGCCATAGTACCAAATAGAATACTCGCGAGTTGTTTAGCGCTACCACCTCCTGGCCGCTCGTCGTCGTCATCGTCAGAGGAGTCGAATTCAGAACCTGCAGCAGACCAGTCATCGTCTGCTTCAGGACGCGCACGAGATTTGCGCTCCAGCGGCGCGGATCCGGTGAAAGCAGGTTTCGAACTCTCCTGCTGTGCGAGACGGTGGAAAGGATTGGTCGAGTGTACATCAGCCTTGGGGGACGTGACATTGGTCTGCGGCACAGGGGGAGGAGAGACCACTTGTGTGTCAGCAGCCTGGTTGGTTATCTTGAAGTACGGATTTTTGGACTCTGTCTCTGGGCTGAAGCTCACAGGTGGAGGAGCATGAGAGGACGTGTCTTCGGGACTGGCAGCCTGCTCGGGTTCCGGTGCAGCAACAGGAGCCGTAGGAGCCACTGTGGGGAGTAATTGGCTCTGGGTCGGTGTGCTATCCTGAGGCGTGACGTTCGCTGGTCCTTCGTCATCAGAAGAACTCTCCTCATCGAGACCTTCCAATTCTAGTTGAAGTTGCCGCTCTCGTTCCCTGGCCCTCTCGATCTCAGCGCGCTGAGCTGCAAGTGCGGCTTCCTTTTCCTTGGCCAACCGTTCGGCTTCTTCTTTGCGACGCTTCTCCTCTTGCTTCCGGATCTTGCCTTGCTTGACTTGCTCCTCCAGTGCACGGAGACGAGCTTCTTGTGCCTCTTTCTCCTTGAGAAGTTCCTCCTCACGCTTTTGAGCTTCCATCCTACAAAAAGTGAGAGCACTGTTAGCCAAATGTACCTCGAAGCGACAATGATAGGTGGATGGGGCTTACTCGAGGCGATTCGTCTCCTCTTCTTGTGCCTGTTGCTCCTCCCTGATAGCCTGTTCCGCAGCGACGGTTTCTTCTGCGGCCTTTTTCACTTCAGCCTGGCCCGCGCTGTCCGTGCGCCCTCGGCGTGAAGGCGGAGCCGGGGGTGGCTTCTTGCCCACAGGTTTGGCAGGTGCGTTAGAAGTGCTACGCTGCTCCTCAGCCAAGCGACGTTGTCTCTCTTGCTCTCTCTTCGCGTCTTCCTCCTCTGCTCGTCTCAGACGCTCCTCTCGCTCTTTCTTTTCCCGCTCCTGGCGCTGTAAAAGGGTTTCAGACGAGTCAGTGTGTGGTTTCAGACCGGCAGCCGCCATGCGCTCCGCGATACGTTTTTGGGCGCGCTCTCTAGCCGCAGCCACTCGGTCCTCGTGAGTGGATCCCGGTAACGAACTGGCAGAACCAGCGGAAGGCGCAGGGGACAGCCGAGAGACACCGACGGACGGCTCTTCGTGGCGAAGTCGCTGCTCTTGAGCAGAACTCCTTGACTCCCTGCAAAGTGTTATTTCGGACTCGACCAAAGGTACGTTTAGTACAGTTATGTCACTTACTCTTCCTTACGGATGTGTGCCGTTCGGCTGCCTCGTTGCAAGTCATAGATGAAGTCCCGAATGACGTCCTCGACCCCCAAGGCATCCTCCCACCGACGACGTTCATGTTCACGTGTCGAAGTTTCACCCTCTTCCTTGAGGCTATCTTCTAGGCTGCGAGTGAACTCTCTCACGCTCTCCTCCACGTCACGTGTCATGGCCTCGTTCTTTTCTCTGTCTGCTCGAATACCGGTACTTTCAGCCTCCAACCTGCGAGCCGCAGCTCCATCGTCGTCCACTGAAGCAGGAACTGGTCTGCCAGCAAGTTCGGCGGCCCGAGCCTGCATCCTTGCACGGGCGCGGGCCTTGATACGATCCGCCTCCGTCACGGTGCCACCGGGTCCTGTTCCAACGATGTTGGCAGCACTATTTGGATGTGCTTTTGCGTCCTTCAAGCGGAAAAGTTCAAGTTTGGCATCGGCTATCTCACGTTCAATACGGCGGACCTCTGATGCGACCTGAGGAACCTGGTCCTCGAAGGCTTGGAGCTGACGACGCAAGGATCTCCGTTCGGCGCCATTATCCAGATTACGGAAAGCTGCATTAGGATGAGTGTCGATATCGTCTTGAACGCGACGGATTCGATCCATGAGGCTTTCAGCCTCCCGACGATCACGGCGATCCAAGACCTCATCCTCCTCGGCTCGATTTTCATCATGGAAGTCGACAGCATCAAGCATGATCTGAGTCTCACGGATCTTCTTCTTCAGCTGCTCAACAGATAGTTCCTCCTCAGATGCCTGAGAGGCAGCGGGAGATGATGGCCGGGCGTCATTACCCATACGACGACGGGCGCTAGACCGGTAACCAGCTGCAGCCTCGTCATTATTCTTAAAGAGAGTGGCATCCTTGCGGCCGAATCCTGGAGACCTTGCACCGCCACGGAATGAGTGCTCCTTGAGGTAACTCACACCAGTCTTCTGAGGTTGCAAAAAAGCGCCAGAAGCTTTGCGATTCTCTGCATCCTGGGATAGCAGGGACTTGACCGCGCCTATTGAATCATTCAAGTTTCTCGTTGACGGAGGAATTAGCTCAGGGGGTAGACGACTCGGGACTGGATACCCGTTGAGTTTTCTGTAAATCAGGTGCATGGCCACAGCGAATTCATCCATGTTCAAACGACCTCGATTGTTGGGGTCGGCAAGCGTCCAGATTCGCTCCAAATCTTTGCGATCCAGGCCACTTTGTCCCATGATTTCGATAGCGGTATCGCCGCCTATGAAGCCCTTATGGAAGCCATCCCATGCTCGGAAGAGATCATCGTAGATTTTCTTCTCCTCCTTCGTGATTGCCCAAGGAATACTAGCATTGCCAGAGAGACCGGCTGTCGTAAACCCGCCTTCACGACCAGGCTGAGGCATGAGTTGCTGTTTCAAGGCCTCGATGTTGGGCAAACCCGTTGACGGTGCGTTAACAAACCCCCATTGGCCGGGAATTCCAGTCGGCTGAGCAACCAATCCACCTGTCTGCATCGAACTAAGATTCGAACCAAATCCGGTAGGCATAGGCGGAAGTGGGGGACGGGGACCACTGTAGCCTGTAGCTTGAGGATTGGTCATTAAACCTGTTGGCTGGGTCTGCAGATACTGCTGCTGAGACTGTCCGGGGAAGCCTGTAGCCTGTGGTGCGAGAGTTGCGTTCGCTCCAAGAAAAGAGGATTGATTGGGCTGCAAACCGCTTGCTTGAGGACCAAAGCCTGTGGGCTGCGCAGTAAGTTGCGAAAGAAACTGTGCATTCGATGGCTGCTGCGGCTGAGGATGCTGAGGAGCCGGAGGAGCAGATTTGTTCTCCAAGAGCGGAGCATCGAAGCTGGGAACGTTCGTTCTTGCAGCGGCTTGCGGCTCAGTGTCGGGAACCCCGAACGAGATGATATCCACCATACTTGAAACCTCATTTTTGATCTTGTCCGGTAGAGTAGCGGGAAGTTCTCGACCCGTGATCCTCAAATTGCAGAGGTACATGGCTAAAGCAAATTCTGGGAAGAATAATTGCCCAGACTTGGTGGTGTCGGACAGAACCCTGGATTGAATAGTCAGCTTCAAGAACATCCTTCAGAACAATTGGCATTTTACCCACCATATTTTCGACAATTCACTGCCGGGAAGTCTCGAACGCAGAAGTAGATCCTTAGCTTTTCCCCCTGTATGTGATAGACTTCAGCAAATCATCTCTCAATCAACGCCATGTCATCTGAGGACTACCAACCGTCCATTGTCTGACTATCACCCACCGCGGACTTGAAAAGTTGCTCAAACTTGGCCTGGTCTTGCGCAGTGATGAACGATAGCCGTATGTTAGGAATTCTGCTCCCCGAAGACTTGGGCGGTGGTGGAGGCGCCACGTTAGCACCATCGCTAAACGAGTTGGCTATCTCCGAAGACGTCCTAGGAGCAAGTCGAGTGGGCAGGCCGGTGGTCGAAGGCACCTGAAGCGATGGAGGTTGACTTTGAGGAGGAAAACCTGTGTACTGCGGCTGTTGCGCGGACGCCTGATAACCGCCAAGCTGCTGCTGCTGAGGCGCAGCGCCAGGGAAGCCTGTGAACTGAGGTTGCAGTTGTCCAGTAGGGAACCCCGTTGGCTGAGGCTGCAGATGAGAGGCCGATTGAGGTCCAAATCCGGTGGGTTGTGGTTGAAAGCCAGTCTGTTGTGGTATTTGTTGCTGACCTTGAGGGAATTGCGAGTATGGAGGTTGCTGCATGAAAGGCGGCTGTCCTGGGCGGGCGTTGTTGACGCCGCCCAAGAAGGAGTTCGACGAAGAGTACATCACAGCGCTTGCATTAGAATTGGGAAGGAAGATAGGTAGTGCAGGCTGAGAAGATACAGAGATCAGGTCACTATCAAGCAAGAAGAAAATTGACGACAAAGAAGCAGATGAACGAAAGAAACCAGACGATGCAAGATAGAGTTGGGAGGAGGGATTCAGGAGGAGCTGCGGCTGTGGTGACGCCTGGACGTTCAGGCACACGGAGGCAATATCGGCGCTAGCCCGAAAGGGAGCGGTGGAGCCACAATTTCCGGGAATCCAGGCTCCAACCCTCGTGATCCGGTGTCAACTAAATATACCTACAGTAAGTAGTAGCTTGCCCATGACGATTGGAAGGCTACAAATGCGATCTGAATTGTGCTTTTGAACCTCTAGGTGATAAAAAGCCTCGGTTGCTGCTTGTCGTTGCATAATATTCATTCAATTGGACGTTATCATTAAAGACAGCAATCAACATCCCTCATTATCATGATGAACTCGTAGCGTAGAGGCTCCTCCAAAAACCGAGCCCAAACTTTAAGCAACTCGATAAATCATCATCTCGCGTAACGTGCAATTTGCGATACCATCAAGCCCGTGGAAGACAATGCATGGAAAATATGGCAAATGGCCACGTTTTAATGTACAGGTGATTCGCATAAACCAGATGCGCCGAGATCCAGAGGAGGAAAATAAGCAGATGCAAATCAGCTCCGATTCGCCAGTATCGCAACCGGTAATCTAAGCACCTTCTGCAGTACCATTCTGCTGCTGCTGAGTAGCTCCGACCATCTTACGCAGCTCGTATTCTTTGGTGAATTCGCGGGAAAGGATGCCCAGGTCCTTGACAAGGTCATGACAGGCGGCGAGCAGAGCATCCTTAGGAGTGACCTCGCCATCAGTCTGAACGCGGAGTTCAAACTTGGGAACTAGAGGATGGGGGACCTGAGACAATTCGTCAGAGTCATGCATCCCAGAGCTCGCAAGGAAAGCCCTGGAAATCTTAAATAAATTTGAGGGAAAACACGGCTTCTAAGGCGAACATACCTTGTAACCAGCAAAGATGACATGAGAGTTCTGCAGAAGACGGGAGCGGAGGAGGTTGCCGAGCGTGTGGTCCTCTTTGTTGAAAGTGAAAATAGAGGAAGATGGAATGCCTAGATGCATTAGATCGACCGTTATTGATCTGCACCGTAAAATTTGATGGAAGAACTCACGAGTATCGGTCTCAACCTCGACTTTCTCTTCTCCAGGAGACAGAACAAAAGACTCGAAACTGAGAGAAAGACACAGTGTCAGCTTGAATACCCAATGCTCGTTGACTTTGTAAAGGATCTTCAGGCGCATGAACGGGATAAGAGTGAGCACCTGCGCGGCTGATCATTGTCCAAATTTATGGAGGAGAGGCAAGCATTATTATTACGAGAACCACCAGCAGCATGTATCCAACGAGCGTATGCCATCTCGTTGGGGAGCATGAATGGTTTCTTTGGACTCATGGCGACAGGACCCTCTCAATGGACAAGACCAGAGGCCAAGATGTAGAAACAATAGGGTGGTGAGCAAAGGAAGACAAACAGATCACAATCAGATAAAGAGGGAAATGGTTGTCAACAGGAGTTGTGTTGATGATGGTAGGCTCAAGTATGAGGAAAGTGGGTGATTGCATCGCCGAGAGCGCAGACCACAAAGCTGGAAGCCCTGTCCCAGGTCTGCACATAGTGAAGGCAACATCTTCCATTTTTACTTTCAGCAAGGGACAACCCCTCCATCACTTTTGATTGCAGCCTCGAGGTAGATCTCTTAACCAGAGACAGGACAAGAATAAAGAAGGCAGCCAAGACATGAAAATGCGGTTTTCCATAGACAGTGCAACGCAACTGGTCTTGCTTACCGATCTGGCGCGTTCATCTTGAGAGAATGACAAGTGAAGTTGAGGCTGTTTCAAACTTGTTCACACAAGTCCCACGATTCCCAAGAACAGAAGAGCCGGGGCCCAAGAAGGAACAAACGGGAATGATGGTTGACGAATTCAAACAGATGAGAACCAAGAAAGACAACTGTTCTTGTAAGTTCCCCTGTTCGCCTCGAAAACCTCGATCGAAACTCGCCTTCAATATCCAAAAAAAGAAAAAAGAACGACAGAAACAGTAGTTTGATCTTCCAGATGATATCAGCAAATAACCAATAAGAATGCCTAAGGACAACACCATTCAGGGCAACAACCTGGGAAGGACATCAGAGAACTTACAAGCTTGATAGATCGAGTATAGGAGGGAGGAATCCTTTGTACAAAGCAACAAGGCGAGGTATTAAAGGTTGTGAGCTTCTGTGAGCAAACTGAAGATATTGATGGAAGAGTGAAGCAATTAAGAAGGGCTGTCCAGTTTATTTCTACTATCAAAATGCTTTATCAGGTTCAATCATTCATTATCTACCGCCTTGAAGAGTCTCGTGATTTTAGGCACGTGATACTACGGATATTGATCACAAAGAGTCTCCCCGCGGCCCGACCGTATCCGAGTGACTTACCACCCAGTGACTCTATGCAAGTAATTCCATGTTTTGAATTGGATGGGTAGTCTCCCCTTGCGGAAGACTGAGCGGTTTACTGATTGGATTACAACGCAGAGTGATGTGAAACAGCATCGGGATGGCGGGTGGAAACGATCCCGTATAGTATCTTACACTGATATAAACTGGCATGCATCCTCATTCTAGTCTTAAGAACCGTTACCTATTGCTCTAAACTATACTCAAGCAATCCGGGATCTAGACATCTCACAGTGTCCTGATTATGTCGCTGAGAACTGTATTGAAATCAACCTATCCTTGGATAAAGAGTCCCCTTCTGGCCTCGGCTCCAATGCTGAACATTGCCGGCCCCCCGCTGGCAGTATCTGTCTCCTCCGCCGGTGGGCTTGGATTTCTTGCTGCAGGATTTGATGTTTCGAGCTTGGATCATAACCTGGAAGTTGCCACCCGTCTAGTGAAGCAATCAGGCGGTATAGTACAGCAAATATACGAAGAAACGGGCGTGCTCCCCATTGGGGTGGGCTTCCTCAACTGGGGCGCCGATCTCAAAGTCTCTACTGCCGCTATCCAGAAGTACACGCCATGCGCTGTGTGGCTATTTGGTCCAAAGAACCAACCGGACGATCTAGTGCCCTGGGCGAAGGAGGTGCGTGTCGTGACCTCTGGCCGGACCAAGATCTGGGTGCAAGTGGGCGCCGTGGATGAGGCGATCGCCGTTGCCGAACTTCTTCGACCAGACGCTTTGGTCGTCCAAGGTTCTGATGCGGGGGGTCATGGTCTAGTTCATTCGGCCTCAGTTTTGACTTTGATACCTGAGATCCAAGATGCTTTACGGGAGCGAGACTTAACTCACATAGCCATCATGGCTGCAGGAGGAATAGTCGATGGACGAGGACTGGCAGCGGCTTTGGCACTGGGGGCTGCCGGCGCTGCCATGGGTACTCGCTTCCTGGCTTCTGCAGAAGCGAATATAGCTCACGGATATCAGAAGGAGATCTTGAGAGCATCTGATGGTGGTCTCAACACTATCAGGTCGACTGTATATGATCGAGTGAGGGGTATCGGGGGTTGGCCTAATCGATACGACGGGCGCGGTATTATCAACCAGAGTTACATTGATGCTGTGGAGCGGGGAATGAGTGATGAGGAGAATAAGAGGTGGTACGAAGAAGAGCTGAAGAAAGGCGATGCCGGTTGGGGACCCGACGGGAGACTTACAACGTATGCTGGCACTGGTGTCGGCCTGGTGCGGGAAATCCTGCCTGCATCCACAATCGTGGAGAACACCTTGTGTGAAGCAAGAGATGTGATTCGGGGAATTCCAGTAGATTGAAGCACTGCGAAGGCCAGGACTCTAGTGGCTTGCTAGCCACATTTTACTGACAGGAGGGACGAAGATGCGATTGAAATGCACTCAAATGTTTAGGAGCAGCGGTCCCTAAAACCCATGCCCAGTATATTACTAGAATTCAATTACAGATACAAGAGTAAAGTAGATACACTGCCGACTGCTTTGATACAGGATTTCACAACCCTTTTGCTGAATAGCGATCATATACCATTGCTGCCTCAAAACACCAGCCTTAAGAAAACCCCTAGCTTGCTCAAAGATGGAGAAAGACAACAAATAAATAGATAGAAAAAAAGTTGCCATGATGCAGTGCCGATTTTCAATGCTGTATCGTAAACCCGCCAATCAATATTCGAGGGACACTGGGTCCAAAAGACAAAAGTGAAAGGAGCATCCAGCCGCTTTTTGGATATCTCGGCCCTATGAAATAAGAACACCGGGATGTCAAGGGCAGGATTGTAACTCAAAGTAATCGAGTATGCGTATATGTTTGCTTACGCGGAAAGTATCGTGACGAGACCGAAAATTGAGCGCCGAGTAAGGGCATCATCAATGCACCACATTCAGTAAGTCTCCGAGACTCGACGTTTCTTTCTTGATTCTCCAATTGCTTTTCTTCTTTTCGCGTTTCTTTAACAATTCGGCCCACCCTTCATCTTCATCCTCGTCGTCTAGCACAGCGTTCTTACTTTCATTTTGCGGTCTTCCGTCGGTAGAGACTGGACGGACGGTCACAGTTGGCATCGACGGACTTTTCATGGCGAGCGGTCCCGCTGGGGAAGCTGTTCTCTGGTTTTCGTCATTCCATTGTTTGGCCATCGAGGGATAGGCCGCAGATCCGTGGTCAGGTTGTAACGTCGATACAGGCCGATACCGAGGTGCCATGCCGACATTGCTACGTTCTGATGGCGCAATAGACGGTGCATAACCTTGGCCGATCGGTGTGCCCGGTCGGTTGCCAGCAGGAAGGTAGGGTATCGCCGGGCCATTGAGCCGAGATGAGACATTCGGGTCCAGCATACTTAGAGTTCTTTGGTCATTGAAGGTAGGTGCTGGACTGAACGGTCCTGCTGTAGGCATGGAAGCAGGTCTCAAATTTGTGTTGGCAGGCAACGATGGCGGAAAACCCGCGGGTGACATCAGTGGCTGCGGCGGCGGAGTCTGCCCTCCTTGCATCGAAATCATTTGCTGCATCCATTGCATCTGCACCTGCATCATTTGGGACATTTGTTGTGACAATTGTATCTGCGCCTGTTCTGTAGCAGAGATGCCCGCCTGAAGATTCGGGGGGTTCATACTCGGGGGGTTCATACCCATCATCGTGTAAGGTCTCGGGATGCCGCCCGACGGGGTGGCTGCCCCCGATGCTCCAAGTCCGTTCTGGAACTCATATACGGCTTGAGTATTCGGACTCCCTCGTCTCATTGCTCTTGCTCGCTCTTCCGTAGCGATGACGCCCACCAAGCCACCCGGAGGCAATGCAGCCGAAGTAGTGGGACCCCCATGCACCGACGCACCCCCTCCAAAAGCCAAGGACTCCCTGTTCGGGGGATTGACTAAGCTTGCCCCGTAGTACGGATCCCGAGGGAGGTTTCGAGCAAAGACAGGTAAGCTGCTGCGATTAGCCAAATCATTGTCGCCAGCGACGGAGCCTGGAGATTGGACGTAAGGCTGCTGAAACGAGGCCCGAAGATTCGGAATAGAACTTGAAGGTGCCAAGCGACTGGGAGGGCGGTTTCTATTTGGAAAACCGTGCGCAGCAAGTATTCCCAACGGGATGTCCTCGTCCTCGTCACCCTCGCTGCTCTTCCCGCTGCCCGATCTGTTGCCAGAATTTGATGCTTGAATCGTTAGATTCGGCGTACTATTGCTGGCGTGGTCCAATTCCGGTCGAAGTGACGGTGCGGGAGACTGTTGGCCTGTGACTTTCATCATCTGCTGTCGATATACAGATAGATGAGCTTCCTGCTTCCGTCGCTGCCTTTCAGCTTCCCGGTTCTTCTCTACCTCGTCGTCTTCATCGAAATCACTCTCGGCCGAGTCTTCACTCTTGGAAGCGTCACTGTTCGATCTCCTGAGCTCTTGCTGCTGCCGATAATGCTCGAATTGCGAAGGCGTCATGACTTTATTCGTCGATGTGCCGGGCTTCGGCTGGCTTTGCTCGTACTGAGCAGCCAGTAACGCGTGCGCGGCAATGGAAGGGTCGAATTGGCTCTCCCCCACTGGAGGCGATTGACGTCGTGTTTCCGCGGGTGACGTTGAAAGGCTCGGAGACTTCATGAGTGCGGGCGTGTTTGATTGAGCAATGAGGGGTGCGTGATGCTCATGATCCGAGCCCTCATGCTCCGACGTCGACGTAAAATGCACCGCACCTTTACTTGAATGAAGGGAGTCCATTATTAATTTAGCGTCTTCGTCTTCAATAGGTGTAGAATCCCGTTTCGTCGAGTAGATGACGCTTCTCCTCAATCCTTTGTCTCCTCCCGTCTGAGGCTTGATGAGAGAACGGTGGGAAGTCGTAGCAGTTGCCAAGGGAAGAGATTTCCGCCGCCCTTCAGGCAACATAGAGGTTGAATTCGGCACACCTGATTGACTAATCGGGGAGTCCTCCGC